ATACTACTACTACTAATACTACTACTAATACTATTATTACTACTACTACTACTGCTACTACTACTACTACTACTACTACTACTACTGCTGCTGCTGCTGCTGCTGCTGCTGCTGCTGCTGCTGCTGCTGCTGCTCCTCCTGCTCCTGCTCATCCACCTCTCCCTCGTCATTATCCTCCTCGTCCTCCTCCTCCTCCTCCTCCTCCTCCTGCTCCTCCTCCTCCTCCTCTTCCTCCTCCTCCTCTTCCTCCTCCTCGAACTCCTGGCCTTTTGGCTGCCCCATTTTGTGTTTTGGCATCTGAGCTTTGGGCCATCATGTGAACCTGGCTCTTGGACCCCTCTTGGGCCAACCCCGGCTTTTGTTTCCCAGGGAACGGGCACACACCCAGCAATTGCGCGCCTTGGCAAGCGCCTTCGACTTCGAGGACGACCAAAGCGAACCTCTTCCTCCTCCTCCTCCTCATCATCCTCCTCCTCCTCCTCATCCTCCTCCTACGTCTCCTGCTCCCCCCATCCTCCCCCTCTCATCCTCTGTCCCTCCTGGAACTCCTCATCAAAGTCCATATTGCATCCTCATCCTTCCGCTGACCCTCCTCCTCCTCCTCCTCCTCCTCCTCCTCCTCCTCCGCCTCCTCCTCCTCCTCCTCCATCCTCCTCCTCCTCCTCTCCTCCTCCTCCTCCTGCTCCTGCTCCGCATCCTTCTCCTTCATTTCTGCTCGTTGGATGGGCCTGGCGTTTCGCCAGAGACTTCCTCGCCTCGTATGACCCTGAAGCTTAAAGCCTGCAACAGCTTCAAGGATGGAGGGCGGGTGGTCGTCAAAGTGTGGTTCTCGCCTTAGCGCCGCGCCCCTCCGTCAAACAAATATGAGGCTGATTCACGAATGGAGGATGGCTCATGTTCAAGATGTGGCTCTCGCCCTAGCGCCGCGTGACTTCGCCTTTGAAGTTTGCAGCAGCTTTAAGAGTTCGTAGGATTGAAGTCCGACAGGTTGTGTCCTGACACGTTTTAGTCAGAACGCAACAATCATATTGATGCGCGGCGTTGAAGACCAAGGAACAGCTTTTGGCACGGTTTGGGACTGGCGAACCTCAACAGTCACATTGACTCGCGGCGTTGAAGTCCAAGGAAGTGCGCGTTGGCAGGATCAAAGATTCTCAGACGGTGGTCTTACAATGATGGGATACTTCCCGCAATGAGCATACATAAGTTTGAGTATCTACGAAGAGGAAACATGGAATAATAATGGACTGACATGTCGTTGATGCGTCTTGGGTTTACAACAAGTCCTCCTCCGCCTCCTGCGTGTCCTCCCTCCTCCTCCTCCTCTTCCTCCCCCCTGACTCCCGCCCTCCCTCCCTTTCACAGATCCCCAATGTGAACACCACTCTCCTCTCTGCCCCGACTCGGTCTGGAAGCTCGTCGCGACCCTCTCCGCGCACTGTGTTTCACACACAGGTGTGCGTGTTCTTACAGTAAGCTCGCAACCCGAAGGTTTCTGGTGCCTCACGGTGGTGTTGGCGCTGCGGCGTGGGCCTCCTGGTCAGGTCGGCGCGTCGCTCCCATCGCTCCGAGGGGCGTTTTCGCCCCACCGCGGGCCGCTCGTCCGGATCCGGATCCCTTGTCATGCTTGCCGCCCCCTCTGGTCCTCCTGCTGCACACGCCCCGTCCACTCCAGCTCCCGCGCTCGTCCTCGTTCTCCTCCTTGCTCATCCTCCTCCGTTTCCTGTTCCTCCTGCTCATCCGCCAGCTCCTCCTCCTCCTCATCCTCCTCCTCCTCCTCCTCCTCCTCCTCCTCCTCCTCCTCCTCCTGCCTGATCATCATCCTCTTCCTCCTCCTCCTCCTCCTCCTCCAGGTCATCCTCCTCTTCCTCCTCCTCCTCCTCCTCCTCCTCCTCCTCCTCCTCCTCCTCCTCCTCCTCCTCCTCCAATATACGCAGCTCCGTGTTTTCCGATTGCGAGTAACACGATGAGGTCATCTTTGGAGTTCCAGGTCCGCTTTGATTCGCGTCGGCGGGCGGATAGATAAAAAATAGCGCAGCGGGAAGGGATGGATGGGAAGGGTAGGATGTCAGACATGGCCTGAGCGCACCTAGCGTGCCCTTCCACTCTTCCTCCCTCCCTTCCCCTCCCCCATCCCCTCACCCTACTCCCTACTCCCTCCATCGTTACTTCCCCTCCTTCCTCCTCCAACTCAAACGCATACGCAGGGGGTCGTTTGGGGATCGCTCCTCATACTTCCCTTTGGGAGGGAGGAGAAGGCAGGAGGAAAGGGGGTCTAGGGTGCTCCGTGGGATTCGAATGGGGTTCTTAAAGGTTTTTGGAGGTTCTAGAAGGGCTCGTGTGAAGCCTTCGGGATGGGGGGGGTCTGCAGGGCTCTGGGATGTTCGAGCGGTTCCACGAGATTCGGATAAGGAAAACTGGAGATCGGGATGGGCTACACCATCTTTGGGCCGCTGCAAGCGATGGAGTGTCAGAGGATCCGCCGTCAGGAGAAGGGCGGAGGGGGAGATTCCAAGCCACTCGGGGGGGCCATGGCTGGCGTGCGAGTGTAGGAGGGAAAGACCTGGAGGGGAAGACGCGAAGGGAGGGTACAGCGGACACGAAGGGGGAGTGCGTCGGCTTCTGGCACTGCGTGAACAGTTGAACCTTGAAAAATGGCTCTTTCGGCCACCCAGTAGAAGCTCGAAGATTGCCACCGTCACCGAGATCGGCATCGTCCTTCCCTCGGGAGAGGCACACCGCCGATACTCGGTGGCGGGCGAGGGGGAAGTGAGAAGGAGAAGTCCTTCTCAGCACTCTGGCCTCCTAAGAAGTTTCCTGTCTTCGCAGAAGGCTTAGGAAACTTCTCAGAAGACTGGAGGACTTCAGAGCCTTCTGAGAAGGCCCGCCCCTTCTCACTTCCCACCCTCGCTCACCGCCGACTCCAGATGTTCGAGGGCACCTAGCTTCGCGCTTCGCGCTGCGCGAAGCGCGGAAAGCTTCGCGCTCGTGCGCCGCCCCACAGGGGAGAAGAGGGAGGAGGAGGAGGAGGAGGAGGAGGAGGAAGAGGAGGAGGAGTAGGAATCGGAGCCGAACCGCGAAGCGCGGAGCGCGCACAGCTGCGCGCCTCCTCGAGGACGCCCTCGGACTCTGGCGCTGGCGCCACCCTCTGGGCCCCCCACGCCTGCCCTCGCGCAGCGAAGCCAGTCCTCGCCGCCCGCGCCGCGGCCGCGGGCGCCGCGGCGCCGCGCGCGGGGGGGGCGGGCCCCCGCGCGCGCGCTCGCCGCGCCCCTGGGTGCTCGTGCGCCTCGGGCGCCGGGCGCGGCCGGGGGGGGGGGCGGGGGCAGCGGTGGGCGGAGCGGCGCGCCCCGGCGGGGGGGGGGAGGCCCGGCGACTCCGGAGGGGGTGCTGCGCCTTTCGCGGCCAGCCCCCGAGGTGGCCTGCGGCTTCGGGGAGGGGCCCGAGGAGCTCCTCGGAGGGCCGGGGGGCTTCCGGGCCTGCTGGGAAGGCCTTCTCCTTCTCGCGTCCCCCCTTCGCGCGCCGGCCGAGTGTGGTTTGCGACGCGCACCCAACAGATCGACAGAGTTCCTCGCCGCGCCCATAAGAGGCCCGACGAGGGTAACGTGGAGCCCCCAAAGCCCACACGACGCAGATCGCAAAACCACACCCCTGCGAGACCACACCCTTGGAAGTCGCCGAGAAGTGATGCGGGGCAGGTCTTCTCAGAAGGCGGCTGGGGCTTCTCGGAAACCCTCGCGCCCTCTGAGATGTTCCATGAGCCTTCTCCGAAGACACAGAACACTTCTCGCAAGGCCTGAGGGCTTCTGAGAAGCCCCGGTTGACTTCTGAAGAGGCCTGCCCCCTCTCGCCTCCTGCCCCGGGAAGGCGCCGCCGAGCCGAGGCCCGGAGGCCGCGCCTACGGCCGCGCGCCGGGGAGCGCCATGCTGGGGGGCAGCACGGACGGGGCCGTGGTGGTGACGGCCGATTCCAGGTCCATGTTCGAGGAAGAGAAAAGCGGCACGAGCACAAACGCTCGACGGTCCGCGAAGATTTTTCTTCGATCTGCGCTGGAACCCGGCCGCCTGGAGGTCCAGCGCTGATCCAAGAAATCCTCATTTTTGTTCCTCCTGCTCCTCAAGCTCCTCCTCCTCCTCCTCCTCCTCCTCCTCCTCCTCCTCCTCCTCCTGCTCCTCCTCCTCCTCTTTTTATTATTATTCTTATTATTATTACTCTTATTATTATAGTTCTTATTATTCTTAGTATTATTAGTATTATTAGTATTATTCTTATTCTTATTATTATTAGTAATATTATTCTGCTTATTATTAGTATTACTATTATTAGTATTACTATTAGTCTTACTATTATTATTACTATTATTACTATTAATATTACGATTAATATTACTATTAGTATTAGTATGATTAGTAGTAGTAGTATTAGTATTATTATTATTACTATTATTATCATCATTATTATTAGTAGAATTATTATTAGTATTAGTATTAGTAGTAGTATTATTATTCCTCTTCCTCTTCTTCCTCCTCCTCCTCCTCCTCCTCCTCCTCCTCCGCCTCCGCCTCCGCCTCCGCCTCCGCGCACCGCCTCCTCTCCTCTCCCCTCCTCCTCCTCTCCTCCTCCTCCTCCTCCTCCTCCCCTCCCTCCTCCTCCTCCTCCTCTCCTCCTCCTCCTCCTCCTCCTCCTCCTCCTCCTCCTCCTCCTCCTCCTCCTCCTCCTCCTCCTCCCTCCTCCTCCTCCTCCCTCCCTCCTCCTCCTCCTCCTCCCTCCCCTCCTCCTTCCTCCTCCTCCTCCTCCTCCCTCCTCCTCCTCCTCCTCCTCCTACTCCTCCTCCTCCTCCTCCCTCCTCCTCCTCCTCCTCCTCCTCCTCATCCTCCTCCTCCTCCTCCTCCTCCCTCCTCCCCTCGCCTCCTCCTCCTCCTCCTCCTCCTCCTCCTCCTCCTCCTCCTCCTCCTCCTCCTCCTCCTCTCCTCCTCCTCCTCCCTCCTCCTCCTCCTCCTCCTCCTCCTCCTCCTCCTCATCGTCCCCCTCCTCCTCCATTTCTTTCTTTGTAACTAACTTGTCCCTGTCGCACCCCGAGGCCAGTTTTTAGGGCGAGCTGGGCGTTTCGCCTGAGGCTTCCTCACGACTTATGACCCTGAAGCTTCAGAATTAGCAAAAGTTCGAGTGCGGCGGCAACGGGTGACGGAATGACACCGACCAATAAACCGATAAAAAGTGATCGGTTAATCCGTTGATCGCTGAATCCACTGATAAGACGCTGTAATTGATACCGCTCGGGAGGCGTTTATCGGTTTGTCGGTTTACCGGTCGACGCTCACGTGAGCCCGACACTTCCGCCTCACATCTTAGCAGCAACGCTCCCAACACCTTAGCCCAGCTCCCCTAACCATAACTCTTGCGCTTTTCAGAACCTTGCCCCCCCGAGATGGATTCTCCGTTCGGGGGGCGTTTATCGATTTATCGGTTTAGCGGTCGACGCTCACGGATCAACGCTCATCCCAGCTCTCCCGACCACAACGCTTGCGTTCCTAGCCCCGTGCCCCCGCGATGGATTCTCAGTTCGGGGGGCGTTTACCGGTTGATCGGTTTATCGGCTTATCGGTCGACGCTCACGTGAGCCTGACACCCCCGCTTCACACATTCGCAGCAACGATCCTAACACCTTAGCCCAGCTCTCCTAACCGCAACTCTTGCGCTCCTAGCCCCGTGCCCCCGCGGTGGTTTTTCAGTCCGGGAGGCGTTTATCGAAATCGGATTATCGGTCGACGCTCACGTGAGCCTGACACCTCCGCCTCACACCTTAGCATCAACGCGACGGACACGGCGTTCGGGGGCGGACCCGCGTGTTTTCAAAATGCGGCTCTCGCATTAGCGCCGCGCACATTAGTTGTAAAAATGTGCCAGGGCTTCACGGATTGAGGGCGGGTCGTTTTCAAAAATGTGACTCTCGCCTTACCACCGCGCACCTTCGTTTCAATGATTTGCAGGAGTTTCACGGATTGACGGCGGGTCGTTTTCAAAATGTGTCTCCCGCCTTAGCGCCGCGTACCTTTGTTTGAAACATTTGCAGGAGTTTCACGGATTGAGGGCGGTTGCTGTTCAAAACGTGGCTCTCGCCTTAGCGCCGTGCACCTTCGCTTTGAACATTTGCAAGAGTTTCACGGATTCCCAAGATCAGCGTACCAGAAATGACGCTTTGCAAGGATTCAGGATCATGAGGGTGCAACAGTTACGTTGATTCGATGTGTTGAAGTCTCAGGAATGGTGTTCTGGCACGATTCAAGATTGTCAAGAAGAAACAGTCAGGTTGATCCGTGGCGTTGGAATCCCGAGAGCAAAATTTTGGCATGCTTCAGGGTCTTCAAACGGTTGTCTTCCAACAAGGCAGTTCCCTCTGTGGAAAAGAACCGTTGTAGGGGCCTATGAAGAGGGAGCTTGGAAGAGTTTGTTCCAACATCGTTGATGAAACTTGGGCTTCCACTGGTCCTCCATCTCCACCTCCTCCTCCTCCTCCTCGAAAATATGTGCTTGTGAAGCTTTCTCTTCTTCGGTATGTGGCAGGGCCCCCGGAAGCCGCTGGGGGGCCAGGACATGAACTCCTGCAGCGCCGCCCTCTGCAGCGTGGAGGACGCCCCGGCAGCCGAGGGCGCGGCGGCCGACAGCGCCGAGGGCGGGGCCGCTGCGGACACCTGCGACGTGGACTCGACCCAAACGGTGCTTCGGCGACTTCGTGGAACCTTTCTCGCTGTGACCTCGTTCGGCAAGGGCGGAACGAGGACAGGACGAGGCGAAACGAGAACAACACGAAAACAGGAAACAGGGTTCGGGTCGAGCCCTGCCTGCGACCCCGGCGCGCGGTCAGCGGACCGCCTCCAGCGCTCCAGCGATGGATCTCCTCGCCGCACGTCTCCCCCGATCTCCATGCTCTGTGCGCGGGGCGCGCCAAGCTTCAGCGTCGCGGCGTCGTCCTGGCGGTGGCGGCCGAATCCGCCAGGAGAGGTGGAACATTCCCCCTACGGCAGAAGTCCCCCTCCGCGGCCCTCCCGTTCTCTCGCCGAAAGGGGGGCCGAAGGAGAGGGCATCCCTGCTTGGGCTCCTCGCCGAGCCTCGCCGCCTGCTGTGCTGCAACTTGGGACGTCGCCTGTCCCGTCGCGTCGAGACCGCGTCACATCCACGAAGCATTTTTCGAACCCGCGTCGAACTCGCGCCGAACCCACGTCGAATCCGCGCCGAATCCACGCCGAACCTGCGTCCAACCCACGGTGGACACAGGGTAAGACCGCATCCTGTTGGACATACTCATACAGGGCCCCCCGAAGAGGCACTGCAACGCTTGGTTCAGGTCGGGCACGTCCTGCTACAGCAGGATCTTTGGAAAAAAGTAAGCAAGGGCCAGAAAATACCCAAAACAAGTCACAAACGAGTCTTGAAAAAGCACGACTACTATTTTCGACTATGCCTGGGCATTCCTCCTGCAGAGGGACGTGCCCGGCTCCACGCTTGGTCCTTGAGCCTGTGCAGGTCGTGCAGGAACGGATTGACGGTGCCGTGGTCGACCGTGCCGACCGGCCGGCCCGGCCGCGGGCGGCGCACGTCGGACATGCCCGGGCGGTCGGCCAGCGGCAGCGTCGCGCTCTCGGAGCGGCCGAGCAGGTGCAGGGCACCCCTCTCGACTCGCCCAAAAGAGGACCCCGAAGCCTCGGGGGGGGGGGGGGGCCCAAGCGAAGAGGGCCTAAAGCGTTGGGGGTCAGGGGGTCCTTTCTGCGGATGCACCGAGGCAAGCCGCTCAGAGCTGCCCTCCGGGACACCACAGAGGCGGGGGCCTGAGTGAGGCCACGCATTCGCTGTGCCATCGGGGTTGGCGGTTTCTTGACCCTCGATGACCTCTTGCTGATCTCGTGGTGCAGCCGGCGGTTCTCCTCCTGTCGGGCCGGGCTAACTAAAGGGGGGGATAGCAAAGGGGCGTCTGAGAATCAGCTCACGAAGCTGATTTTCCTGGCGCCTCCCGGCGCCGGGAAGCGCCCATGTATCGAGGAATGGGCCCGGCGGCGGGGCTTAAACCAGCTGCATGCAGCAGATTTCGCAACCCCCCCTTTCCCTATCCCCCCCCTTTCGTTCGGCCCGATCCTGGCGGATCCTCTCCGTCCACCACGCCGTGCTCATGGAGCGCCCGGCGCGGCCGGGCGCGCTCGCCGCAGCCAGGCGGCACCTCCTTCCCGCGGGGCCCTCGCGCGCCCCAGGCGGCGCAAATGCCGCCGCTGGCGGCTCCCTCAAGGAGGGGAGCGCCGGGGCACGGGCAACGGCCTTGAGCCGAAGCTGGAGGAGGAGGAGGAGGAGGAGGAGGAGGAGGAGGAGGAGGAGGAGGAGGAGGAGGAGGAGGAGGAGGAGGAGGAGGAGGAATGAGGGGGAGCAGGAGGAGGGAAGAGGAGGAGGAGAGAGGAGGAGGAAGAGAGGAGAGGAGGAGGAGGAGGAGGAAGGAGGAGGAGGAGGAAGGAGGAGAGGGGGAGGAGGAGGAGGAGGAGGAGGAGAGGAGGAGGAGGCAGGAAGGAGGAAGGAGGAGGAGGAGGAGGAGGAGGGAGGAGGAGGAGGAGGAGGAGGAGGGAGGAGGAGGAGGAGGGGGGAGGAGGGAGGAGGGAGGAGGAGGAGGAGGAGGAGGAGGAGGAGGAGGAGGAGGGAACGACGGTGGCAAAGCGGTGTCGGACCGAAGCCGAACTACGTGAAGCAAACTACACCTCGAAACTGAAACCTCGAACCGTGTGCGACCTGCCGTGCGGATGTCGCCTCGCATCCGCTCGCGAGGGCTCAGACACTGGCCCAAGCGCTTCCTGGGCAGGTCTGCTCGGGCGGCAAGGCGGGCTCGCCTCGGCCCAGGCTCCAAGCGTGGGGCTGGGACCTGTGTCAGCGCACACACCTTGTGGCCTGCGCCAAGGCGTGAATCCATACACGAGCTTGATCTGTGGGGTACGAATGATGTGTTGATGCCGACCTCATAAGTAAGAGATAAGCCCATGATGTCGATTACGACGCCTAGGGATATCGCTCTGCTCAGCGATGGTATGTGACAACAACAGCAACAATTGTGGCCATAACGACATGTTGGACTACTCAAACCTATTGTTCCTCTTCCTCCACCTCACCATTCATCCTCCCCCTCCATCTCCCCCTCCTCCTCCTCTCCTCCTCCTCCTCCTCCTCCTCCTCCTCCTCCTACCTCCTCCTCCTCCTCCTCCTCCTCCTCCTCCTCCTCCCTCCTCCTCCTCCTCCTTCTCTTCCTCCTCCTCCTCCTCCCTCCTCCTCCTCCTCCAACTCCTCCTCCTCCTCCTCCTCCTCCTACTCCTCCTCATACTCTCCTCCTCCTCCTCCTCATCCTCCTCATCCTCCTCCTCCTCCTCCTCCTCCTCCTCCGACGGCACGTGCGCGACCCAGGGGGGGAGGGGCCAGGGACGTGTTCTAAGAAGACGAGGCGCCACGAGGTCTGGGGAGATCTCATGGCCTCCGCCATGATACCCCCCCCCGCCTAGTCATCACCCCCCCTCTTGGCCGCCCCCGAGAGTGGGGGGGGCGGGGGGCGCTCCGCCGGACGCCAGGGCCTGGGTCCGCGTGGGGCAGCGCCCCGCGGGATGCCCCCCTCCTGGGCCCAGGCCGCCGCGATGCTCCCAGCAGGGGAGCACCAGCGGAGACGAGGCCCGGTGCAGGTCCGCGTCGGGAGGCCCCGCGGGACTCTTACGGGGCCGGCAGGCGCAGGGGAGGCGAAGGAAGGGGGAGGGAAGGAGAGGAGGAGGGGAAGGAGAGGGAAGCAGAGGGCAGGAGGGGGAACGGAGACGGGGGGAGGAGGAGGAACAGGAAGCTGCTCTATCGAAGACGACGGCGCAACGCAGTGCAACGGGGCTGGGGGGCACCCAGAGCCAATCCAAGCAGCCATTGATGGCTGAGGTGGTCCAAGGCACTTCCTCTTCCAAATCCCGTCTCCCCTGCACCTGCCGGCCCTGCAGGTCTGGAC